GTTGTTGCTGCTAAGGGTGGCCCAACCAGTTATTAGGTTTAGGGGGCAATCACTTTTTCACACAGGGCCATGTAGGTTTGGATTTTTTTTTTTCCCCTTAATAATAAAAACCTTCATTTAAAAACTGCATTTTGTGTTTACTTGTGTTATCTTTGTCTAATATTTAAATTTGTTTGATGATCTGAAACATTTAAATGTGACAAACATGCAAAAAATAAGAAATCAGGAAGGGGGCAAACACTTTTTCACACAACTGTAGTTAGCACAAAAACATTATCAGGCCTCAAAGCCACAGTGGTTGGACCAGTCCTAGTCGTCATGCGCGGTAAAAGGTTAAATAACACAGAGAAAAAGGAGAGAGGGAGCAAGAGATGGAGTCCTCTGGAGAGGAAGAGGAGCAACGGATGGAGTAACTAGGAGAGAGAGGGAAGGATGGAGGAACTAAGAACCAGCAATGCCCCAGGGCCTGGTTTTGTCCTTTTATGGTCACGACAAACGGAGGAGGATCGAGGCTGCATCTCGAGCAGCAGTGGGGATCAGAGGACGGAGAGAGGGAGGAGAAGCAGTTTGGAGAAAAGGGAGAAGGGAAAAGAAGACAATACTGAGTGTAACTACTAAAACGTGGACGAGAAGGGTTGAGGACAGGAGGGACAAGGGAGGGATGCAGGTTGTAGTAGGAGGTGGACAGAGAGGCAGTGTGTATCTGAGGACTGAGGCAGGGATGGATTATAAGAGGTGACGGGGGGGAAGGGTGGGACTAAGAACAACAGCGTATTGGGTGAGAGTCCTAGTATTTTCCCTGAGGCCTGATGGGGTCAGTAGCAGGGCAAGAATTTTCCCATGAAACGTAACACACACACACACACACACACACGCACAAATATTTGCTATGCTATAATGCCGTGTTCACACCAAACGCGTATTCGCGTCATTCGCACCGCCGGTCTCGCCGGGGACTATTTGTGTTTATTCGCATGAATCACGCTAGACATGCCGGAGAGGGGGCGTGGCTTATCGCCCTGAAAGCCATTCAACTGTCCGCCATCAACCATGTAAAAAATAACCTCTATTTCTGCTTAGTATGTGTTGTGGAAGTCACAGATATCCTGGGAAACTAAACGCCGTCATGTCTGGGTTCATAGCATTGTCCAGAGGAGCTCCGTGGATTTTATCGAGGTGTATTCACTGTGTCTAGCAAGCCATACGTCGCTGTTTACTACAGCTATATGAACCCAAAATAAACTGATTTGGCTGTGATTTAACGGCAATAAACCGGCAAAAAGGGACTCTGAAATAACTACGTAATGATGCCGATTTGTACTTGTCTTCTCAATGGAGCTCGGATCGATCGGTGCTAGGCTATGCTAACATTGTAGCAGCTCCACCAACACTCAGAATAACGTCATCTAGACGTAAATACAGCAGCGTCTATTCATTGTTTGTACCATATGGTTTACACACACACATTTATACACATAGTTTGGTCCGGTCTCTATTGATATGAGGTATTGTAGAGCTCTGGGTGAACACAGACGGCTACAGTATTTATTTCCTGATTCAACAATGGCAGGACGTCAGTGATGACAGGAGAAACATCTCAACGCTGATAGGCTATCGTGTCACGCAATTTTTTTCGCTGAAGTTGAAAAATTTCAACTCGCGTGTTTGGGGTGATTTGCCGATTGACGCAAATTCGCGTCAATCGCAAATTCGCGTCACTCCAGTCTCATCGCGTCTGTGCATAGACTTTGTATGTAATCTACTCGCGCGAATAATTCGCACCGCGTTTGGTGTGAACGCACTATAAGGCTGAAAAACATTGTTTAAAGGTGCTATATACAAGATTGGGAGCATTTCTATTGTGTCCAAACAGCTCTCAACATGGCGACAGCTGAGTCGGCAACTTGCAACTAACAGCACTAAAAGTGCAAACAACGGCAACAGTGCTGAGCTAACGGTGTTAGCAGCTGTAGCTGCCGTATGCGCTCACGTAGACATTACTCCACTATATCTTTACACAGCTAATAGTTGCTTGCTGCTTTATTAATACTCTAAATATTGTATGTTGCACCTTTTATTAAATTATGAAAACTGTACACACACAAAACATATTTATCAAATTACTTTGCGGTAGGATTTGGCTCCCTCTTACTCTGTATACTCTTGTGTTTGCACATTAACACAAGCATCACCCACACATTAAAAGCACACACAACTGCCTTCTCCCAGAAGCCGTATTCCCTAAGAAAGTGTATTCAGTAAGGTCTATAAATTATGCAGGGTTACCAGGAAACCGTTTCTTGAAAGAGATGTTACTGTAAATTTATTTTAATGCAATTATTTTTTTTTTTTTTTTGCTGTGAGCACAGGGGCTGGGTTTCTTTTAAAAAAATGACGATGCCAGTACCAATACTAGCACCCTTAAAGTGCTACCGATACCAATAGGGTACTTCATTCGATACCCATTGTGTGAATGGAAGCTGCTAGTGTGTCCCACTGGCGCTCATACAGTGTTTACTGCCGATAACGCCGTCCCCCACCCACTGTGGTTACTACTGATAGCTCTGTTAGCGCTGTTGCAGCTGTTTGCACCGTTAGCTGCTAGCCACCGGCTTGGACATCCCCCATGTTCAGAGCTAGCTGTATGGGTTGTAGCTGCTGCGATAGTCGTCCAATCGCACGTCGCATTAAATTGAAAAGCTCTTTTTGTGATTGGCTGCGAGCAAAGCCGTAAAAATAGTCCAAACGGTTTTTTTTGTAGATCTGGGCACAGAAATGATGGATTTCAGATATCATTTGACTGGAGAAGTTTTGATACTACTGGGTACTGGGTTATTTTGGTCAATACCTTAAAGGCATTGAGTACCAATACCCAGCCCTATGAGCACCACAAACTAAATTCCATTAATCTCCAGTGTATTGAGGCGGAGGCAGCAATCTCAACCCTGGATATTATAAACTATCAACATGGTTAAATACCAGTAGAAATATTTTTCGATACTAAAGGTACAACATCATTTTAAATGGCAGAACTGTGTAATTGGTTAATTTCAAGGGAATCGCCACAACCAATGGAACTTTTAAGAACTTTGGCACACAAATTAGCACCGTTGACCAATAGCAAGCTGTCTAAACAGTGTTCACCAGTGGAGGGTCCAAGATAGTGGAAGCTCTTATAGCTTAATTGCTGTATGTCACAATCCACTTTGATTTAACGCTCCTTTTGTCATAGTACAAACTGTAGAGCTGTAGAGCTTTTCCTGTGTCGGGAAAGCTCTACAGCCTTTCCCGACACAGGAAATCTTGTAATGATTCAATAAAGAAGTCCCAAAATACTTTGTCTCGAACATCACTCAAAAGACTTTTACTAATTTAATTAATTTGCTCATTCACCGAACCAACTCATAAATGCTTGTGTTGCGCTAAATAATGGATTGTAGAAACAAATCAAGTTTTGTCGCCGTATCTTTTGCGTCACATGACAGCCACTCTGGTTTCAGTCTGAGATCGGTGCTAAATTTACTCCGTTTTGGCAAGACTGAAAATATTTTTTGCTCCCAACTCCCTCTTTGGGTCCGTCACTCACACCAAACCTCGCGTGAACCCCGCCAGCACGGCATGGGCACGCATGCTCTCCTCCAAGTAGCAGTTAGTATGTTTGCCATTGGGTGCTGTGGTCTGAGGCTGAGGGGGAGAGACTGGGTCAGAGTATTTCTATTCCAGAACAATCTCTCATGCTTTGTCGCTCTCTCGCTTCCCCCCCACCAGATCAGATTTCTTTTTAAATGATGGTGTTGATACTGACGGTATTTTTGAGGTTTTCTCCCGATGTGTTTGTCTTCGGTGGAAATAGCAGATTTTGGTTTCAAGACGGCTAACATGTCATGCACAACACCCGTTGGATGCACAATTAAGCCAAGATATGTCAAATGACTGCGGTGCGGGATGTATATGTGCTCGGCCGTAAAGTCAGAACAGATTATTTGAAGGTTGGTGGAAGCTGAAGAATGTTTGTGTTTGAGCGAGAGGGCTGTAGTTTGAGTTAAAGGGGCCATCCTAAAATAACTAGATGGCCTTGTGAAAGTATGCGGCGGCGATGTGAGGGAACAGCAGACGAGCTGCAGGAAATGATGGCTGTGTGGGACTGACTGTGAGTACATGTGACCCAAGGGTGAGATGGAGTGGTTCTGTTTGTCCGCTTCATCTGTTTTGCAGAGCCACTCGCAGAGATCAAGGTTCTTGGATATTGAATTACTTTAGCACTGTGTGTCTTATTTGGCATTCTGAGGCACTACAGAGCAGTTTAACCTTTTTATATTATGTCAAAATACTGAGTAGGTTTTAGTAACATTTGCATTTTAGGTTAGCTGTAGTCTGTCATGACTATTTAGAGTTGGTGACATCTGAGCCGATGGCTAGCAGCGAACACAGCTGTATGGGTTGTAGCTGCTGCTGTAGTTGTCCAATCACATGTCGCATTAAATCAAAGAACGCTTGCAGTTGCTTGTCTTCGAGCAAAACCATACAGTTCCTTCATTTTTTTCCTAGATCTGGGCACAAAAATGATGGATTGCAGGTATCATTTGACTGGAGAGGTTTTGATACTACTGGTACTGGGTTATTTTGGTCGATACCTTAAAGAACTAAAAGCGTTACACACATGCGCATAGGGTTGGGTATCGTTTGGGTTTTTTCCGATATCGGTGCCTAAACGGTGCCTGAACCGATACTTTTTCTTCAAATTGAACAATATATTAACTGTTTAAAGTATATTATAAATATAAATAAATACAAAACACTTGGCTTCAAACTACAGCTTCAAACTTTTTAACTTCAAACTATGAACAATATTAACAGTTTACAGTATACTTAAATAAATATAAATAAATACAAAACACACACACACACACACACTACAGCTTCAAACTTCAGCAAATCTTTTGCAGAAATATGAGCATATTTGCCTTCTCTGGCAAAATAGGACACCTTTTTATTTTACCAGTTGGTGGCGGTAATGCGCCAATTCATCGTTTGCCAACCGCCACTACACCTCAAAGAAGAAGAAGAAGGTTTCGCGTGCCGGATGTTGTGCTTGTTATGATCGGCAGCGCTAAGTACCCGGATGTCGATGGAGGACGTTAGTAGCCTGCCAGCCGTTTGACAGATCGTTTTTTGTTTTTTTTAATAAATCATGGCCGAAGCTTCGCCAGAATGATGGAGGGGTTTGTTTCTAAGCGCGCACGGCTCGTTCGGTTGTAATAATACTATGAGTGAGGAGCGGAGGACCGAGGCTATCGTTAGCTGCTGCCAGGATGGAGGCATCAGAGTAGTGTAAAAAAAGTATTTCAATCGGCTCAGGCACCGAAAGGAAGCACCGAAATCTGCGTTGCGTTTCGGTCCGGTAGATACCGGTCGTATAGGTACCGGTGCCATGCCGGCACCGGGTTTCGGTACCCAACCCTACATGCGCACTGGTTAACTCAGTACTTAACAGTTATTGCACTGTATTCTGAGTTTTATTCACAAAAATGTTGAATCCGAAAAAATGCAGAAAGAAACTCGGATTCCAATGTTTGGTTGTGATTCAGAGTGGTGGTGTACCAAACAGTGTGAATGTTGGTGTGTTTCAGGTGGAGCAGTCCAAAGTGCTGGTAAAGGAAGGAGGAGTCCAGCTGACACTCACCATCGTCGATACTCCGGGTTTTGGAGATGCAGTGGATAACAGTAACTGGTGAGCCGCGCTGGCATATTCAGGGCGTTTTCCAAATTCCCAATAGATCATACGTTCTTTGATTATTTTTTTTTGTTTCTCTGCCTGATATCTTTTTCTCCATCTTTGCAGTTGGCAGCCAGTCATAAACTACATTGACAGCAAGTGCGAGGACTTCCTGAACGCCGAATCAAGAGTGAACCGCAGGTCCATGCCGGACAACCGAGTCCACTGCTGCCTGTACTTCATAGGGCCCTCTGGACACGGGTAGGTCTGCATGAGACGAAGGTGTGATAACATGAGATGGATTTCACATAAAGTAAGATCAGACAGCATAAGGCAATGAGATAAGATGCTCAAAACAGGACACAGTGTTCATATCATTGCGTTCCCCTCCATGCCACATGTTTGAAAAATAGAATATATTGACCATATTTTGACCATTTCAGACGTAAAGTTTTCAGTTTGTCTGTGTAAAATATTTAACTTATAATATTGGCTATAATTTACTCTGTGAAATAGTAGGTTTTAACAGTTGAAAAAAAGAGCCTTTTGGCTAACGCTGACACATTTACAGTGAAAATTTAAAAAACATTTACGCATCCGGCAAACACAGCAACATTAGCGTTTGTTTAAAGTCATGTTTCTGACCACCTGATGAATCTCAGTCCGATATTCACTCTCCTTTTTACTCTGTTTTGGCCTCCTCCAACTCCCGACAATCAGCTAGTTGTTCACTTTGATTTGTTCAAGGCTTTGTTAGAGCTCATTTGTGGAAAATAGCTATTGCTGGAAACTATACTGATAAGAAGCAGTGAGCGTGAATCAAAACGGTAAAGTAAGGGGCAGTAAAATAACCAAAACAATGGTGATTCGACAGACGCCTAATCGCTGAGGTCAACAATAGAGTCGGGTGATAATTCTCTGCGGTGGACTGTCATGACGTCACCCGTTGGTTTGCTGACTGCGGTTTTTGAAGCCTTGAGTTTTGAATTTTGAATTTTGGCCGTCACCATCTTTGTTTTTGTCCAACCAATGAACGGACGTGACCATATTTGGACTGAGGAGTGATGTAGAGACGCTGTATACGGCTCTGGTAGCGACCTGTCAATCACAAGGTAGCCCCGCCCTCTATTTGACTCTAAATGGACCATCATTTACTAAATGAACATCATGCTGTATTGAAGAAGACTTGAAACTAGAGAGTGACACCATTAACTCATGTTTACCATGTTTACTGAGGTAATAAATCAAGAGAGAAGTAGTCATTTTCTCATAGACTTCTATACAACCAGAGAAGTCGCCCCCTGATGGACGTTAGAGAGAATGCAGACTTAAGGCACTTCAGCACTCGATTCACTTACCAGAAATGGAGGTTGCTGCCTGGTCACTGCAAACAGTTGATCCATTTTTAAAGTGAATTATTGATTAAAGCACCTTGAAGTGTCATAGGTGTGTCAGTGAAGTGAGGTGCAGTGTTAAAGTGGGATGAAAACCTTCACACCCTTTGTCTTGGAGACTCCTAAATTGAGGGAAAGTCTACCTTTTAAATCCAGTTTCCAATCCTCTGCCAGCAACGCAGGCTGGTGTGTGTGTGTGTGTGTGTGTGTGTGTGCGTGTGCGTGTGCGCGCTAGACGAGGCTGCCAGCCAGCGTATGTGACCCACAAAGGTTATACAGTATAACCCAGTTCTGCTCATGCTCAGTAGAGCCCCGCTCTTCATCACTGAAATCACCCAATCGGAGCGGCGGCTCGGAGCGGCTCACAGACGCAGCCCTCTCATCTCAGAC